CTGGGGCGCCCGGGGGGAGGCGCGCCGAGGGCGCGCGGAGCGCGGCGCGCGGGACCGCCGGTGCTGCGTGCACTGCCTCATCGTCCTCCTCGTCCTCCTCCTCCTCCTCCGTCTCCTCCTCCTTCTCCTCCTCCTCCTCCTCCTCCTCCTCCTCCTCCTCCTCCTCCTCCGTCTCCTCCTCCTTCTCCTCCTCCTCCTCCTTTTCCTCTTCCTCCTCCTCCTCCTCCTCCACCTCCTCCTCTTCCTCCTCCTCCTCTTCCTCCCCTCCTCCTCCTCCTCTTCTTCCTCCTCCTTCTCCTCCTACTCTTCCACCTCCTCCTCCTCCTCCTCCTCCTCCTCCTCCTCCGCATCCCCGATTCCTTCTCCTTCTAAGAAACTTCTCCCTGTCGCACCCCGATGCCAGATTTTAGGGCGGCCCGGCGTTGCGCCTGAGACTTCCTGACCACTTATGACTCTGAAGCCTAAACAAGTTGCAACAGTTTCACACCTTGAGGGCGGGTGGTTTTCAAAAGATGGCTCTCGCCTGAGCGCGGCGCATAATCGTTTACAACATTTGCAAGAATTTCACTGATCGAGGGCGGTTCCTTTTCAAAATGCGGCTCTCGCCTTAGCGCGGCGCACATTGGTTCACAAATTTGCAAGCGTTTCACGGATTCAGGGCGGGTCCTTTTCAAAATGTGGCTCTCGCCTTGGCGCGGCGCACATTCGTTGCAAAAAACTGCAAGAGCTTCACGGATTGAGGGCGGGTCCTTTTCAAAATGTGGCTCTCGCCTTAGCGCGGCGCACATTCGCTTGCAACATCTGCCAGCGCTTCACGGATGCAGGGCAGGTCGTTTTCAAAATGCGGCTCTCGCCTTAGCGCGGCGCGCAGTCGTTGCCAAAACATTGCAAGCGTTTCAGTGATTCAGGGCGGGTGGTTTTCAAAATGTGGCTCTCGCCTTAGCGCGGCGCACAATCGTTGCAAAAAAATGCAAGAGTTTCACTGATCGAGGGCGGTTCCTTTTCAAAATGTGGCTCTCGCCTCAGCGCCGCGCACATTCCTTTACACAATTTGCAAGCGTTTCACTGATTCCCATCATCAACGTACCAGAAATTTCGTTTTGAAAGGATTAAGGATTACGCGGGCGCAGCAGTTACGCACGATTCAGGATCGTCAGCACGCAACAATCAGGTTGTTCCGTGGCTTTGGAATCCCGAGAATAATGCGTTGGCACGCTTCAGGGTCGTCAAACGGTTGCCTTCCAAAGAGGACGGTTCACTCAATGGAAATGAACCGTTGTAGGGGCCTACGAAGAGGAAGCTTGGAGAGAGGGTTTTTTTTCAACATCGTTTATGACTCTTGGGTTTACAGTGGTCTCCTCCTCCTCCTCCTCATCATCATCATCACCATCGCTCATCACCATCATCAGCATCAACGTCGGCGTCACCATAACCACCAGCACCGTCGTCAAACTCAGCATCGTCAGCTTGTTCGTGAGCATCGTCATCATCACAATCATCACCAGCAGCAGCATCACCATTATCATCAGAAAGAAGGGGTCGAAAGGGCATTCACTGTCCCTGGGAGCGTGGCTGAAGTGGGGTTCCGCGGTGCGGAGTGTTGTTGCGTTGTTGGTGGTGCGTTGGATTCTAATTTCTGGAGAAGAGAAATGTTCGATCCTCCCTTCCGGCACGATTCTGGCACGATTCAGGATCGTCAGCACGCAACAATCAGGTTGATCCGTGGCGTTGGAATCCCGAGAATCATGTTTTGGCATGCTTCAAGATCTTCAAACGGTTGCCTTCCAACGAGGCCGGTTCCCTCCCTCCTGGAAGAATTGTATTTCTTTCAACTAAGGTGCCCCATCCAGGGGCTCGCACCTTATTTTTTCAGGGCAAGCTTGGTTTCACCAGGCTGCGCTGTTGGCCCCTGAGCAGTAACAACAACAAACACAACAACAAAAACAAAACACAAAAACAGCAAGAGCAACAGCAACAGCAACAGCAGCAGCAGCAACAACAACAACAGCAACAATCCGTTTAAGACTGCTCGCTCTTACCTGCTCGCGTGCCACTCAACACGTACATCCCAAACCCTCGATACCCGCCCTCGTCGTCTTCGACCGTACCCACATGGGGGTATATCTTCCTTACCTGCCACGTACCTTTAGCGCAGTCCCTTAAACAGCAGAAGAGAAGACGGATGGGGGAGGAAGAAGGATGGAGCACGAGAGAGATTAGCAGGGCGCGGGGGCCAGGAGCAGAAAAACACGCGGCAAAACCAGACGGGCAGATCGGGCGGATAGGCCCTACAATAACGGGAGGGTCGGCAAGGCGGGCCCCGTCGGCCAGGTCGAGCAGGAAGGTTGCTGAAGCGTGAGTTCTGCATACATCGCGAGAAAATTTCGAGCGATAGCGCGATTCCCAAACAAATTGTGAGAACAGTCACAGCGAGAGCGCAATTCCTGAGCGTCGAGAACGGGGCGTTTGAGTACATTGCGAGGAATTCCCACGCGAGAGCGCGATTCCTGCATCGATTGTGAGGCAGTCATGAGAGAGAGCGCGATTCGGAATGAATTGTGAGGAAGTATCAGGCGGGAGCCGTTGTTGTTGTAAACTGAGTGCCAACAACACAGTCTGGTGACACGTCACTTTCCCAAAAACAGGGTGCAAGCCACGGGAGAAGCATTTCAATTGAAAACTGCAGCAAGGTTACCGGAGAGGGAATCAACAGAAATTGTTCTTTGAAATGGGAATTCAACAACAATCATGTTACCCTCATGCGCGATGTTTCCACACGGAGCATGCAACAATCATGATAACCATCCCCACCATGGGAGATTATTGTTCTATAGCAGGGTCCGCTATTCCCATTCCAAGATCTCCCGCCCAATGCGGTCTTGCAAACACCTCCGAGGATTTTCAACATATCCCGCCTCGAAAACACATGCCCGCGCATTGCTGCGCCGATGCGAGACCGCCAGTGGAACCCCAGCCAAGGGTAAAGCACAAGGAAGTATCGAGCGACAGGATTGCCTTGGTGGGGATGGGGGCTGTCGGCGGCGAGGCAAGGACCTGGTCCTGAATAAAAAAAGAGGAAGTCTCGAGCAGGGCCGCGGTTGTTGCTGGGAGCGGCGCCAATGCTGAAGAGAGTAGGGCGCTAGGCCAGCGTAAAACAAAACGAAATCTCCAGCGGGAACGCTGGTTTTGTTGGAACGGCGGTTTTCGGCGGCGAGGAGGAACACCGCCTTGAGTAAGAAGGGAGGAAGCCTCGAGCGGGCGCCGTGGTTTTGTCGGGACGGGGGCTGTCGACGGAGAGGAACAGCACAGTCCTGAGGAAAAAGGGAGGAAGCCTCGAGCGGGAGCGTTGTTCTTGCTGGGAGCGGCGCCAATTCAAGAAAGAGTGGGGCGCCAGTCCAAGGTAAAACGGGAGGAAGTCTCGGGCGGGAGCGCTGGTTTTGTCGGGACGGCTGTTTTGGGGCGGCAAGGAGGAGCACCGCCTTGAGTCAAAAAGGGAGGAAGTCTGGAGCGGTAGCGTTGCTGTTGCAGGGGGCGGCGCCGATGCGAAAAAGAGTCGCGCGCCAGTCCAAGGTATAACGGGAGGAAGTCTCGAGCGGGAGCGCTGGTTTGTTGGGACGGCGGCTTTCGGCGGCGAGCAAGAGCACCGGCCCTGAATAAAAAAGGAGGAAGTCTCGAGCGGGAGCGTTGTTGCTGTTGGGGGGCCCGTTTTGGCGCCCCCCCAAACCGCTCGAGCGTGAGCTCCATTTTCAATGAAAATGTAGCCGGCGCCGAGGCGAGAGCGCCAAGGCGCCTGGGGAGGGTCCAACAATATTAATTGCTTAGCAATGAACATCGAACAGCAGCAGCATCCCCAGCACTAGTAACAACAACAACAACAACAACAACAACAACAACAACAACAACAACAGCAACAACATCAACAACAACAACAACAACAACAACCCCAACAACGACAACAACAACAATCGGTTTAGGACTGTTCGCTCTTATCTGCTTGCAGGCCAGCCAACACGTATATCCCAAACCCTCGATACCCGCCCTATTCGCCTTCGATCATACCCACTTGGGGGGAAACTATCTTTCTTACCTGCAACGTGTATTTCGTGCAACAACAGTAACAACAATCATTGTAACACTGATCGCTCTTATCTGCTCTGGTGTCACGCAACACGTATATCCCAAACCCTCGATACCCGCTTTCTGCGTTTTCGATCGTACCCCCTTGGGAGTATGTCTTCCTCACCTGCAACGTATAGTTCGTGCAGCCCCTGAGGCAGGGGAAGAGATGACGGATGGAAGGCAGGGGCAAGGGAAGGAGGATGATGGAGCACGAGAGAGAGAGTAGCAAAAGGGGGCCAGGAGCAGAAAGCAAGTGGCAGAGCCAGACGGGCAGATCGGGCGGATAGGCCCTAACGGGCGGGTCGGGAAGGCGGGCCCAGGCGGCCAGGTCGAGCAAGCGGGTTGCTGAAGCGTGCGTCCTGCATGAATCGCGAAAACGTCTCGAACAATAGCGCGATCTGCAACGGAGCCACGAAGTGCAACGAGGGGGCCACGAAGAAACGGGGCCACGACAGGTAGCGAAGGGGCCACGAAGGGCTGCAACGGGGCCACGAAGGGCAGCAAGGGGGCCACGAAGGGCTGCAACGGGGCCGAGAAGGGCAGCGAGGGGGCCACGAAGGGCTGCCATGGGGCCACGAAATGCAGCGATGGGGCCACGAAGGGCTGCAACGGTGCCACGAAGGTCAGCGAGGGGGCCACAAGGGGTGCAACGGGGCCACGAAGTGCAACGAGGGGGCCACGAAGGGCTGCAACGGAACCACGAAAGGTAGCGAAGGGGGGGCCACGAAGGGCTGCAACGGGGACACGGAAGGCAGCGAGGGAGCCACGAAGGGCTGCAACGAAGCCACGAAGGGCAGCGAGGGGGCCACGAAGGACTGCAACGGGCCCACGAAGGGCGGCAAGGGGGGCACGAAGGGCTGCAACAGGGCCACGAAGGGCAG